CCAGCGGACAAGGTGGACACACCAGCGATTCGCGTTCAAAATTAATTTGCCTCTTCAAGTTGGGTGACAGTGACAGATTTTTTGACATCGTTCATAGTGTCAGCTCAACGCACTCCATGTTCTTATGTTTGGACGAATTTTGTTTTCGTGATGAGCCTATTCTGTACTATATTGCCCTATGTATACATATTGTTGTATACACTACAATGTCTACATGTTCAATAGTGAGTCATGGGCCTAAAACGTAATATCTGCACGAGTTGCTCGGCGCGTGTGGTAACACGTTCAGACGATTACTATGGCCAATAAAGGTCTCGCACATGAAGAAAAAGCGACGCACTGATCACAATGATGTGGAATTTTCGTTATTACCTTATACAGTATACAGTATTTCTTACGGTAAGCACCGCAATACTGTATCGTCGGTTCGACGCCTAGCTATGTTACTCCGCAAGACCTGTATCAGCCACTTCTATCACCTCGTCACGTTGCCTTAATTAGCAACTCGTGCTACTAAAAACGCTTAGAACCGCGGTAGGTTAACACGGAACAGAGATATGGTGTTTAGCGTAAGCGAAACGGTATCACTGGCACTGAAAAATTCTTCTAGTTCAGACTTACGTCTTCTTTTGCTGCACATTGCACCTTAAAAAAAAAAAAAACTTAACAGTCATAGAGGGTTAGAAGCTCTTCGTGGCAACTGGGTCTGAAATATGAAGGTTTAAGAAGGCCAAGTTTGGCTTCTGTAGTGAGTCTAAACGTGTGTGGGTGCAACCTGCCTTGTTTGGAAAGCTCTGAGGTTTGGGGCATTTAAAGCAAAAAAATATAAAATAGAACGTCAGAGAATTAACCCGTGGCCAAATGTGCAAGTTTTAATGTGGTAGTTGTGAAATGTGTTGCTTATTTATTTCTCCCACGGATATTTCAGAAAATGCACTGCGCCCCGGAGCAATATTTCTTCATGCGCCAGCCATCGATTGCTGATTTTGTTTATATAAATTAGCAAAAAAATTTCGAAGACATGAGTTTGCAGTTTCGCTTATAATAAGCGGATTTGGGCTTCTTTTTACGTCGAGTCGCATGTAGAATTTTTGAATCGCGTGTCGCGTTTTTCTGGACTTATTTAACAGTTCTTCTAGCAAATATAGTTATTTTAGTAATCATCATGTTTACCAATAGCTCGTTTGTTGTTCTATAAGCGCGTTTGTTGATTACTAAGTAGTTAAGTTTTGTAGCCAAACATATGTCTGGGGAACTAAGAAAAAAAACTTTATCATGCAGTGAAAAACATGCTATAAATTAAATGGAAAATACACTGGCTGGAACATTAAAAAGCTAATATCTACTTTCATTCACAAATACGGATATTTTGCTCTCAAATACGTAAAGTAACTTTTCGAAGTTTACGTCGTATTTGAATAACTAAAGAAGTTTGCAAGAATGTGAAAATTTAATTAATGTCCACTCATTTTGGGCATATTTTGCGATGATTTTTTTGCTTGTTTGCTCGATAGCATCTGCAAACTCTGATTGAGGAGCATTGGTACTATTTGATTTTAAATTCATGCGAGAGCGCCCGCATCGGAATACTCAGTCTATACATGCTTTCTTTTTTTTCCCTTTACAGCGGAGATATTTTTCGCATGCCGTTACGTGTTTTCAAAAGCCATCGTCGTCATGAATGGTCTCAACTTTTCTAGCGCGCGCAGCGCAATGACTCAGCCGGCACTTCTTCTCTTCGTCCTCGTCTTCATCTTCTGCATCGTTCTCCGGACACGCGCACCCAAACCGCGCTCTTCCTCTGCGTCAATTTGTCCGGTGTGGGATGCAGTAACACAGATGGGTGAGAGACACAGTTCACAAAGAAAAAGAGAGAGAGGAACAAAGTGACTGAAAGGCAGAGAAAGAGGGAAACGAAGGGAAAGAACTAGAATAAATAGAAAACGAAGATGGAAAGAAAAAGAAAACGATTACGCGCAGAGAGAAAGAGATAGGTGATTGATTTGATTGATACGTGGGGTTAAACCTCCCAAAACCACCATATGGATATGAAGGACGCCGTAGTGAAGGGTCGCGGAAATTTCGACCACCTGGAGTTCTTTTACGTGCACCCAAATCCGGACACACGGCCCTACAGCATTTTCGCCTCCATCGAAAATGCCGCCGCCGCAGCCAGGATTTGATTCCGTGAACCGCGGGTCAGCAGTCGAGTGCCTTCGCCACTAGACTATTGCGGTGGGGCGGAGAAACAGATAGAAAGAAACATACGGAAAAAATAGAAAAAGAGAAAATAAAATGGAACGAGAAAAACAGAAGAGAGAGAAACAAGAGAAAGAAAGATATTTAGAAAGAAGGACAGAGATGGAAAAAGAAAAGAAGTAATAATCAGAGAGAAAGGGAAGTGAAAAAAAAAGAGATAGAAAGAGATAGACAGATAGAGAAAGGCTGGACTAGAAACAAACCAAAACAATAAGAAGGTAGCAAAATAAGGAAAGAGAAATAAAAGAGGAGCAAGGAATGCCGGGCAGCTGCGCACTTTCTTTAGACAGGCCGCTACTAGAGCGAAAATGCATTATTATTATTATTATTATTATTATTATTATTATTATTATTGTTATTATTATTATTATTATTTTGGTGTCTGACACACGTTGACAGGGATTGCGTGCAAATTGCACACATTTGCTCCATTTATGTTTGATTTAGCCTGCTAAAGATTAAGCGAGAGTCAGTCTTGAGGTTACCATCGCTGTATCATCATCGTAAAGCATGCAGTGGCCGGGAACAAGCGTAAATTACGGGACCACAAATGATATTGCATTTTCACATTGATACAGTGCACACACTGCGAACGTATCACGAATATTGCGCGATTATGTGACATGACGTTACTTTTAGTGTCACCGTTTTAGTACTTCAATATAAACGTGCAATTTGCTCAATGAAGAAGTCTTGTTTTGCGCCGCCTTCGCACGCCACGTGCTTTTCTACATACTGTACTCCTACGAAGCTGTGGCTCACAAAACCGATGCGATACGCGTACGTTGATGGGTGGATAAATATGTCCGGGAAAATATTGACACACACGGGAAAAAAATGACAAAAAAAAATCTTGCGCTTACAACGCAAAATGATGCAAGGAACTCTTGTATGTGTACAGGCTGCTCATGCACGTGCTTTGATTGGCTAAACCAGGTCGGCACACACTGTTCCTGTAAACAGCGAGCGTGAAACTTGCACGAAGAGGGACGCTTGACTTCCACGCGCTTGTTCTCATTTTGTCTCGGCAGGGGCGCGGGCCGTCGCGCATGCTTAAGCGGAGAATCGTGTTGTGCTTTCAGTTATGAAAGCATGAGATCAAAGTATAACTTTAGGAAGGGCAGGGGGGGAGGGTGGAGCACAAGAGAGAACGTGATCGCGCACAAAGATTCGGCTTCTTCTTGTTTGTACCTGTGACGTTTTTTTTTTTGTGTATATACAAAAAAAAAATGTTTTGCTTCATTTTGTGTAGTATCACCACGCAACAGTGAATGCTGTATCAGCTGCGTGAATGTCAACGGCGGCAAACAGAGTTCGTGTTTGCGCATAGCAGCGTCAAAGGAAGTGAATGTTGTTCAGCTGCTGCGCTCGGCAAACATTTTAGCAGAATGAAACGCCAACTTTCCTAGATGAGCTTTAATTCGATACCTCGGGAGGCTGGTGCAAGCGATGCGGGAGCTCTTTGTTTGCGGAAGAGATACAGTAATCGATGTTTCCGATTTCGGGGCCGGATGAAAAATAGCGGGGTATCTTGTTTTAAAGCAATTTCGCGATAAAATGAATGAGAGCAGTTGGTGCAGATCGATAAGTGCACTCTCAATCATTTTTCCTCGAATGTGGCTTGTTATGCTTGCTTGAAAAATTAATTCCTGTTGCCGTCGGCGTCATATATATATATATATATATATATATATATATATATATATATATATATATATATATATATATAGATAGTGTACTTTGTTGGAGATTACCCTGCAACTAAAAGAAACAAAAAGTTATCATGCCACGCGAGTTGCTGTCAGCCGTTCTGCGGCACAGCACCTTGAAAATTCATTGCTGGGTAGTTAGTCTTCAACGGCGTACTCATGCACAGTGTGCGGTAACAACATTACAGTGACGCGTGCATACAATAATACGTACGATCTTCACGTGCACACTACAATAGGTACGATCTCCAGTCGTACACTAACAACAATTGGACACATACTCTTCATTCCACAAACAAAAATTCGTTCGACATTAACAGGCAATGCGGTGGCATTATACTTCTTCACGCTGTCCACCTCAGGCTACATACTTTTGGCATGCATGTTGCGCGCTGCCATTTCTGTTAGGGAGCCAGTGCTAATAACCTTGAAACCGTGGTAAAATATTATCTGTCGTTACTCGCTCTTCATCGTCCATCGCATTGATTGATATGTGGGGTTTAACGTCCCAAAACCACCAGGTGAATATGAGAGACGCCGTAGTGGAGGGCTCCGAAAATTTCGACCACCTGGGGTTCTTTAACGTGCGCCCAAATCTGAGCACACGGGCCTACAACATTTCCGCCTCCATAGGAAATGCAGCCGCCGCAGCCGGGATACGAACCTGCGACCTGCGGGTCAGCAGCCGAGTATCTTAGCCACTAGACCACCGTGGCGGGGCAACTCCATCGCATTATATAAATGGTTTATGCCTTGTGGATATTTGCATTTGTGAGCAATGAATAGTGTTTCGGGAAACTTGCAGGGCCTTCTAATTCGCTTGATGAGCGTGCACACACGTATTGCGGGACGAGTTATGGACAGTTCATGCTTTGAAAGCTAATTAACAGCTAGAGGCATTTTTTCTCATTCATAATGTCGGTATAAGCACGTCGCAAATCGGGCTCCTCAGTGCGACACGTAGAAATTCACGCACCGTAAAAAAATGAGTGAAACAAATAATGAGCTAGTGTCTTGGTTGAAGTACCTTACCAGAATGCTTGTCACAATGTAGGTCTTGTTGCTCTCGAAACCCGTGTCTTGGTAAACCCTACGGTACTTGGGCGACGAAAGCTTGAGTCCCTTTAGGTCAGACCACTCGGCGATCTGAAAGAAAGCGAGGACAGCTTTTTCGCCGCCACTGAGGGTAGCTGTCTAGTATCTCTCGAAGCCGTTCTTGAGGGTTTCGCAATCCTGTACGAGTGCTCCGTGCATGTATATAGACAGTCACTGACTTCCGTGTTCCTTTAGTTCCCCCGCTTTTCTTTCCATTGTGCGATTTTTTTTTTGCCATGAAAACGATCTCACGTTGCTGGATGCTTTAGTGGAGCCGAATACCAGGGGTTTCATTGAGCGGTAAACAGAGAGATTGAGAGGTGACTTGAAACTTTTTGCAGCGGTATGTTTGAGGATAGAAAACAGCAAACTAAGCTAAAGAAGCAACAGGGACGTGAGGGGAGGTGTTCTAAAGGGGATTGGCGCCGCGTATTGCTTACCTTTACCATCTCGCTGTTTATAGTCATTTCTACCACGTCGATGGTGTAGTTGACTCGGAAGCCTCGGTCGTCAAAACTGACGTTTCCAGTCAGACCTTTGATCTTTGTCTTGAGAGGGTTGGTGGGATACGCCGCAAGAAAGAAGAAAAATAGGGAAAAAAATGAATACATGTATACGTGAACAGTCTTTCAGTGTCCTTTTTTACTAAGCGCGTGTCTCATTTCTTAATGTACGATGAGAACAGGCACTGACACCAGACTCGCAGTGCAGATAAGTGCAGTTGAAGTGTTCCAGTGTTTGAAGCACTTTTTTTTTGCACTGGCAGCGCTTTGTTCACAAGCTGACGCGAACATAAATGGGATGTAAAAAGCAGCTAATGTTTGCTTAATGTAGCGTTGCCCCAGGGACATTTTTTTTTTGCGCTGTAAATTCAAGTGCAGCTTGGGAGAAGGCCTTCATTTATCTTTTAATGCAGACAATCCTAAGGTATTCTTTCATCATCATCATCACCACCACCACCACCACCACCACCACCACCACCACCACCACCACCACCACCACCACCATCATCATCATCATCATCAGCCTGGCTACGTCCACTGCAGGTCAAAGGCCTCTCCCATGTTCCGCCAGGTAACCCGGTCCTGTGCTTGCTGCTGCCAATTTATACCCGCAAACTTCTTAATCTCATCTGCTCACCTAACCTTCTGTCTCCCCCTAACCCGCTTGTCTTCTTTGGGAATCCAGTTAGTTACCCTTAATGACCAGCGGTTATCCTGTCTACGCGCTACATGCCCGGCCCATGTCCATTCTTTACACAGGGGTGATTGTTATGCAGGTACTTACGTGTTAATCTTTTCCGCTTCGAATTTTCTGACACGAAATAGGCAGAAAAAAGCGTCAGCATGGAGCCACCGTGTCTGGAAACTGAACCTGGGGCTACGATGCCATAACCACTGAGCCAACGCATATAGCGTGTGCATGAAATTGAAGCTGAAAAACAATTACCTTTACGCATAGTAATACCGAGGTTTAATTTGCGTAGGGCATGGCGTGGTAAACTTGTCAATGTGACATCTTTTATTTAATACAAGCGCATTTATTTGTATAAAAAACATTTGAACGTAACTATTGGAAGAAGAAGTTTTCACGGGCATAATGCTAACCAGATGGCTTTACTTCCCGACGTTCTGCTTTGCGGGCTGTTGCTAGTCGACCCATTGTGTTAAAGTAACGGCTGTGACGTTGCGCTGCTGCTACACTGGCTCATTTCCCGGCCACAAAGGCCACATTACGATAGAGGTGAAACAATGAACCATGGCCTCAGAGATTGTACGCTGGTTCGAACCGGCGAGCAGCAATTTCGGAGGTCACTGTGGAACTGGGCACAAGCGTTAATTCAGGCGCACGATGAAGTACTCCAAGTGGTAAAACAAAGTTCCTGAGTGCACAACTTCAGCGCGTCCCCTCATTACAACGTGGTATTTGACGCGTGATACCATCGGATCCTAATATCGTTTAGTCCACTTCAAGTTTAGGGGCTCGAAATTGTTTATGCTCGCGAGAATATTTTTAAAACTATTTCATAGAAAGTATAAAAATATTAAAGCAAGGAAAATTAAGAAAAACTGGAGGCGACCTTACACCTTGGCTTAGGTGTCTCGTAGTGCCTTTCACATGTCGCCGTTCGTGAACCCTATGCGCCCTAATGTATTCATTGCGTGAATTTCTGTTTTACGGCACTGTTGCAGGTAGATCTCGGAGGCAGTATGTGGAAAGAAGCGTGTAGTAGAGATGCGTTCTGCCAGGTGCCACAGCAATTCCAGCTGCTCGCAAAATCACTGCATGCTCTTTCTGCTTACTAAATCAATAAACTTTCATGAATTATACAGCCATTATAATGACCTTTATCTAAAGTAAAGTTACGCTTCTATAGGTGCGTGACATAGCTTTAAACTAGAACCTGAACCGTCAATTTCCTACTAGCATTATTTCATAAAAGACTTTTTTTTTCGAATATTTGGGAAACCGGAAGTTAGTGCCCAACCGGAAGAGCGTGCAAGGCGAACAAAAATGGGATTTGTTGCTGGGCTCTCTGTAAAAAAATGGCCACTAAAGTGACAAAGTACCAATCACTATACCGAATTTGGCGCTGACTATTCTTTGGGAGTAGAGTTACTGTATATGCTGCCTTTCGGTACTTAAAGGTAGCATATACAGTAAATCTACTTGAGAGTAAAAAAAATGTCTAAGGACCTTACTTGGGTGCTAGGTTAACGTTTTCTAAGTGTTCACCTGTACGCTAGTACAGGTCAAAGATTTCGGGTGACACGCTGCACTGACACGCTCGAACGAGAAAAAATGACGCTGGCTCCTACCGAGCGAATGCGCTTGGCGATCTCTTCGCCGTGCTCCCAGGGCATGACCTTCTCTCGGCGACAGTCGATGCCCCGGGTGTTGTTGTTGTACACCTCGCCGCGCCTGAAGTTCTTGCTGAAGATGCTCGGATAGTCTCGCAGCAGCTGCTTGAACGCGTGCAGCAGTACTTTGGCACCGTCGTACATTAGAGCCGCGTCGGCCTACGATGAGACAAAGCCGGAACAGAAAACGTCATAGGGAGCGACAGCAAAAAGGTGGACATGTTGTCAGTTGCAGCCGTTATTTTTTTTTTGCTTCTTGGCTTACAGAAGCAGTGGAATGCTGCACACACAGTTTAGGATTGTTGACTTGATAGATGGAGCAGAGAGGAAATATAATAATACGTATTGTTGGCCTAGCCGCTTGTACTTGTCCTTGTGTGTTTCTTTATTCGTGTTTGTGTTCTTTTCGGCCAAAGCATGTCATTAGGAAATATAAGCCTCCTGAAATATGCGACACCATGACACTGCCACCCCTCTCCAACCCTCAAACAGACACATTGGCTTGAATTGTCTTTTTATTATTGCTCTAACAGCATGTTGCCACGTTGCAGTATGTGAAAAGCTGAATAGAGCTCGCACTGTCGCATGTCTGTCCGGTGTCACGCATCTCACGTGACCAAAAGGTGAATATGAAAGTGGGTAAAACGAAATGATGATGAAGATACTCGGAGCGAGTCTACACTCTCACATATACTCGCGCCAACAGCTTGGCTGTCAGATTCGAGGCGCGAAACTGTCTGAATTTTTGTGGGATGTCCGACTCACCGATATCCTTTTCTTCTTTGGGTCTGGCCATGGAATCTTGGAGATGCGCTCGGTAAATACTTCCTTGTAAGGAAGCGTCGTGTTCTGGACAAGCCGGAAGCCGGTGATGTTGACGGCGCCGAACTCCAGGCTCGGGTTGTTTTGGAATTCGTCCATTATCTGCGACGGGAAAGAGCATGCACACGCACAAATATGAGGGGACCCCTCCGGAATATGTTACGCCGGGAGTAACAAGTGCTTCGCCATCATGTCAGGGGCAAGGCAATGAATTGTAAGGTAATTAGTTTAAATGTAAATTAATCACCTTACAAATTAATCAACTTGCAAATTGCAAGGTAATTCGATTGATTAAGCGAATGCAAGGTAATTAATTGGGAATCACTAGGCACCTTGATTTTACTGAAGATCAGATTATTTTCTGCAGGTAGCACGTCCTTTTTGTGGCTGTGACGTTTTCCTAAATAACTCTGATATAGAAAATCCGAATGACAGTCGATTGCTCTATGCAACTTCACGCATCAATCAACGCGCCTCCTTCCAAAGATTTTCTCAATAACTTTTCACACGCGCCCAACCAGGTTTTCTTCATTTTCGGCCACCTCGAAGCATCTAATATGCGAAATTGAAGTAGCGGCCGATAACAGTCTGAAGCTCTACCGTACTTGTGTTTATCTCGGGTATCGTCTGTTTTACACGTCTTATTTGTGATGTCATGTATTGGCGTGACTCAGAGATGCTGCTGCAAAATACATGTACGTTTACGTTGAGTAAGCACTGCGCCATGCTCCCAACCGGGTTGCAAAAATTAGGTGCCTTTTCTCATCTTCTAACCACTATCACCACCACCATCCTGAAAAAGGAAGGCCACCTGCCGCGTTGGTTAAGGTGCTCGAATGTTGACCCAAAGGTCGCGAGATAGAATACAGGCTGTGGCAGTTGCGTCGAGCGAAGGCAATAATGCTGGAGGCTCGTGTACTTACATTAATGTGTACGTTAAAGAGCGCTACAAGCTCGAAATTCGCGCAGTGCTTCGATACGGTTTGCTTCATAGCCATATCGGGGCTTTGATTCTTAAAACACCGACAATTATTGTTAATAAAAGCGAAAGCAAGTGACAAAGCTGGCTTCAAAAATGACGAATCCTGTTGTAGAGAGATACATTTTCAAAGACTCCTTTTGTAGTCACACTCGCTAAATATTGCGCCATTATCTACGTGGTTTCGGCTATTTCTTCCTAATCATTTCGTATGTATGTATACCCTTACGTGAAGCCCACTCACGAAATACGCCCGTTATTGAAGACTCCGTCACGGATAGCATAATACGTGTTATCTCGCCCAAATCACGTGTGTATCACGTATATAGGTATACTGTGTATTGGGCGCCCACTCACGAGGCTGGTGAGCAGGAAGTGGTAGTTGCGGCGCCCCATGAACGGGTCTCGCACGTGGCTGATGATGATCTGGCGCGTGGTGTCGGCGCTGCAGTCCAGCACGACGTACTTGCGCGACTCGCGGTCGCGGTCCTCCAGACGTCGCAGAAAGCGGTGCACATCGGACGCGTTCTGCACACGCTTGACAACCTTCACCTCCAGGTGGTACCTGTCCGTCGTCAGCTGGAACAGGTGCTGCAGTTTCAGCAGGCCTGCGAGACGTAAGGAGAGAGAAAGAGAGAGAAAAAAATTCACACCGCCTCTCGTGCATTTGCTCAAGACGACTAAAAAAGCCATAACCATTACATCGTTTTTGTCTTTAGATTGTATTGTGTCTTTTTGCCCCCCCCCCCCCCCCCCGACGTTCTCAAAATCTCTCTTTTTCATTCAACGAGTTTTTTCACTGCCTTCTGCATTTGCCCATCTTTGATCAAGCGGCGACGTCTCGTGATGAAGATCTTTTGCTTCAATCGTGTTCACATCGATGGTTTGCGCCGACGGCATCTAAGGGCCTTAAAATGATTTCGCGTTACGTTCGAATACCTGGAAGCAGCTGTAGTATGAAAGCATACTGACGCTTCACAGAAAATAAGTTAAGCTGTAGCTTTACGATTACTTAATGTGAGGTGGCGTTGGGGGTATGGGATGTAAGTAGATGCCTAAATGTGCATGGCGTTGCTACCACGCCCATTGTAAGGAAGTGATTGGATTTCCGACAAAGAGGCGCACTCTCAGCCTTGCAAGATCCCTGGCAAAATCCCTCCCAAGTTTGCGTACTTCATTCCTAGCGGATATCAATGACCGAATGCAACTTAGTTACAAGATAACTTAGGCGGGGTGATTTAATTGTTTGGCAGTTGCTTGCTCTGTGGCAGAGATGCGCAGAAAAAAAAGTGTGGAGGTGTTTTTTGGAAGCTGAATTCGTACTTAGTAGCAATTGATACGTCAGCAGAGGCTGTGCCATATGGACTGTACTTTGTACTTAAGTCTTTGAATACTTCTCGACTGAATGTCTATTAGTTGTTTTTTTTTGCTTTTTAGAAACCCTCATGGCAGTGTAAATGCGGAAATCATATTGTTTTACACAATAACCTAGAGGGAAAACTGGCGCTGCGATTATTGTACGACCATGGGACTGATGAACAGTAGATGCCTCGGATAACATGCCGTTAGCCAGCGAACTGTCTACAGATCTTTTTCTGCAGTTTCAGTTCTGTTTTTTTGTTTTTTGCGCAGCGTGTTTAGATGGATGCGGTGCAAAGCACTCAAGCAGATACTTCGTGGTTCAAAGATGCTGAAGACGGCTAGGTTTCTTTGTTTGCTGCGACGTTACTGCTTTACAGGTTGTATTTGGCTGTTTTAGTGAAGCGTCGCGCGCTCACTATTTCGCATAGATGTAGCATCCTATGCCACAGCAGGATGTTGCATAGAGTTACGGTTTTCTTTATAACCACGTCTTGCCAAAAGTAGTTCAAATCAACTGCAAAAAAAAAAAACGGCGAAGCTAAGTAGACGAACTGTCACGCTCCTCTGACTCGTCTTCACAACAAAACGAGAGATGCGTTGGGGGCAGATCACTTAGGCACACGCACGTGGCATCGCAGCAGACGATACGTTAAGCGCTTCTAACTAAATTACAGTACTGTTATTCTCATGAATAGATAGTGCGAAATTTCGAGGGAAAAACAAGCGTGTTTGTTTTCGAGTGTTTTATAAAATAATTCAGCCCCGCCGCGGTGGTCTAGTGGTTAAGGTACTCGGCTGCTGACCCACAGGTCACGGGATCGAATCCCGTCTGCGGTGGCTGCATTTTCGATGGAGGCGTGGATGTTGTAGGCCCGTGTGCTCAGATTTGGGCGCACGTTAAGGAACCCCAGGTGGTCAAAAGTTTCCGGAGCCCTCCACAACGGCGTCTCTCATAATCATATGGTGGTTTTGAGACGTTAAACCCCACATATCTATCTATCTATAAAATAATTTATTATATTTTGACGTCACATCTCGAACACAATGGTTGAACAATGCACAAGCGCGTGGTTCAAATTTTTTTTTTCAGATTTCACTTCCTTATCACGGTCACGGAAGCTTCTTGCAATAAGTTCTACGTATAAAAAAATGTAGCAAGCTTTATTTTGCAGTAACTTCACGTCATCTTGTTTGGCACTCGCAAAGTAGCGTCGCGAATCTCAAGAATGAAATCCATCCAAGGCAGATCCAAAGCCGTTACTTCCCATCATTCCCATGGCGGTACAAGCGCCGTCCAAGGAGCCCGCATAAACCCTAGCGCCAGATTACCCTCTAGGTATTACAGTGGCAGTTTCGCAGATATACTATACTATGTTTATGACTCGGGAGCCCACTTGCCAAAGTACTTCTTTATTACACCTTGCAATACAAGGAAATGACCTGCAATGCACACACGCTAACAGAGAAACTGAAAAGTGACGCCAGAGAGCCGGTCATTTAACCGTGCGTCTTGGGTATGACTCTGAAAACATTCAGTGACATTGCAGCGTCACTAACACAAGATCTATGTTAGTATAGGATGACGCAACACTCGCCCCCTCCTCCCGCCTCTCCAGTGTCTTTAGCAACGGTAGGGTGGTCATCTTTGCTGAGAGCTGCGAGGAAAATTCAGTTGGGAAGGTTGAGACTCACCCCCGCCCCGATCCTCGCCTGCATATGAATGTTTCGTTAGGGTGACCTGTTCCTTGTTGGCATCTTCTCCCTGTTCACCGACTTGCTCGACGTCATACATCGCACGTGCACCATCCATAAGTACAAACAAGCCTAAAGACCTGCGATACACGATGTCTTGGCTGCGTGATGGATATTCATGGTTTGCGGATGGTGTCACAAGTGATGGCGGGAAGCATTCCTGGAATGTTCGTGGTCTCACATAATCCACATGCACGTAGCTTTGATCTATCAGTAGTCCTATCACAGAGGTGCCTTAAGTCACGCATTTGCTTACCTTATATACCGCTCAACCACTCACTTTACCCTGGCCTTAGTGCTTTAAAAAAAGGACGTCTTGCTTTTCCTCGATGTCTCTCCATGCATACCTTCGCCGATTGGCCAACTGCTTTGTTCGCTTCACTTTTTTTTTCATGTTTTCTTCGATATTTGGATGGAGGAGGCTCAGTATGGCTCTAGGTTTCTGCAATGCCAGCGTCTCTTTACTAACACCCGTTGGCGTGTTCCTATAATTGAATAGAAACTGTTCATGATGTAAAGACTTAATTTGCCCACTCCTTTGCTCGACCACGACCTACTTAGAAAGATTTTTTAACATCTGTACACAAAGCTTCTAACTGTCATTTGAGGGCGAGTGAAAAGGCGGCAATTTAGTGTGCCGGATGAAATTCTGTCTCATGAACGCCTCGAAAAATTTTGAGGTAAATTGCGGACCAATGTCGCTTACCACTTGTTCCGGTAATCAATACGCAGCAAATACTGTGCGCGCTTTCTCTGTGTTCTCTCCGCTACCAGTTGACCTAACCAGAAGCACTTGAACCCACTTGTAGTAAGAATGTACAAGCACTAGAAATATAATGGTGATAACAGTGAACACGAAGTACACATGCTTCCACTGGCGCCCCGCCATTCCCCCTGACATTACCGGAGCTTTTGGCGCCGCAATTTTGCGTCAAGTGGCAAGCCACACACCTTCTAACGTTTTGCTCAACGTCCTGCGTTAGGTGAGGCCACGGAACGTGGATTCATGACATTATTTTCGTACGTGTCAATCCAGGACAGCCTTCGCGCACCAGTGATAACACTTTTTTGCCAATAGACGATGGCGCTATTACCAAGTTTTCCCCTGCCGCACATTCTTTGTCAACAGAAAGTTCGCTCTTTCGCACAGAATAGGGCACCAATGCGTCGTCAGACACATTTTAAGGCAAATCGCTGTGTGTGCAAAACAACACTCTAATAACAAGCTGTATTTTGTAGTTTTTCCTCTAATGTGCTCTTACACGTCATCCGAGTTCCGAAGCGGTAGCTGTGAAAGTACGTCTACTATAAAGTACGTGAAAGTTACGTCAGAGAGGCTTTAACACGCGTTCTACATTAGGGTGGAATGACACAACATATACAACGCTTCAGTAAACGCTACAGATCGGCGCGGAAGGCGAGCCAATGTAGTAATAGTCGAACTTTATAATGTACAGAAAACAGAGAGGCTAGAACTTCAGCGCCCACCGTAAAGTATATAGGAGTAAAAAAAACATCATCTGTCCGGCATGATGGTGCCCCTAAGGCCCCACTGGTAAAAGCAATCCGTACAGCTCTTTGAATTATTCGTAGGTCATCTTCCAGGGCAGGGCTGGGGTGCCTAGACGCCTGTGCCTCCCGGATAGACCGCGCATCAAGACACACTAGGTCGGGATAGAGAGCAGTAGCTCTCGTTCGTCCCATGTGCCATTTGTGTCAGGCTCTTTTTCATGCTCCGCGTACTCCCACTGAATGTGAAAAAGTGTCGGTGTTGCTCCACACTAGGGTCATATATCTCTATATGCATGGGGTAGATACGATGGAGTGTAGGCAGAGATTAATGTAAGTGTTAGTCTGTATTCTTTGTTTGCGTGGTCGCCTTCGCAACACCGAGTTCACCGTGTGGGGGGTGGATAGATGCATGTATACTTTCCCAATAGTATCTAAGAATTGTTGTGTAGCGAGAATTTAGGGGGGGGGGGGGGGGGGGGTACACCCGGGTATACGGTCCTTTACTGCAGAGTCTCGGGTGGCTTCGTGCAGTTACATTCACGCGGTAAAAATCCCAATGTGTACAAAATGAGGTCGTGGGTTGCGGTTAACGCAAGCAGAATCAAGTGAGCAAGTGGAATAAGGCTCTTTGTCTCTGTCAATTTAAATTTTTTTCGGAACGATCATTTCATGGAAGGCAGCAACAGAGAGAAGATTACTTTTTTCAGGAAAGTTGTTGTTCGCGTCCCGCTGTTTTAGGGGCGAAGCTCCTGAAGGCGTGGGTTTGTTCATTTCTTGTATGTATGTATACGTGACCGCCTATAGTTCCACATTTGAGAACTGCCTACTACTTCGTCCTTGCAAACATCCCACTACGCCTCATCACTTATCCGCCACTTCACCGAGCATAAAGCAAATACCGTTAGGAAGTAGCCAACATGAAATGCAAGATGGTCGTGTAATTGTGTCCAGGTGCGCGTTAAAGAACCACAGATTGTCTCAC